CAAAGGGAACCCCTTTGCTAAGCTGGAGTGGTTTCTGAACACCTCTCATCCCACTTCCAAATCTTCACCACCCTCAAAAAGTCCTCTCCCACCCTGCTCATTCTCAGATAACGGTCTGACCATATCCTTTACCAGGAAGACTGACTCAATGAGAAATGAACCCCCTTGATTTGTTGTTCCTGAGCTTCTTTTACGTGTGCCTGAGCTCACTCCCATTTTCTTTCCTCTGAGCTGATCCCTACTGCTGGGTTCTTAATGTCTGTTCCTTATGTCTGCTCCAGAATCTGGGCTTTGCTCCAACACTGGTCCTGTTGCTCCTATACTTTTCACCTCTCCCTTGCTAATGTCTTCCCCTAACTGTATAAACATATTCGAGCTTCTTTGTTTAGAAAATAACAAACCTCCCTCAAACCTTGGGCACCCTCCAGTTACCGCTACACCTTTCAGCTTTTCTCTCCATGAAGCTCCGTATATTGTGGGCGGTACTTGCCATCTCTACTTCCTTGTCATTCTCTCCTTCTTTAGCCCATAGCCACCCAACTTCTGATCTAGCTCTCCATCAATATTTTATTGGAAAAACTGGCCCCTCACTTCAGGGGTAAGACCTGAGTTTTTCAAGAGGTCTTGAATCATACATAATGCACTCCTGCTCCACAATACCACCCAGCCAGCAGGGCTCTAGCCTAAGTCTCCCCAGTTCCGTGGGCTGCCTAGCAGCTCTGTCCCCCCGAGGAGAATCCTGTTTCCTTCAGGCCCAAACCCCACCTGGCTGCAACAACGAACATGGCCCCAGCTAAATACTTTGGACAATCGCGTTGTTTCTGCTTTGCTCGAGGCTACCTCCAGGACTAGTGATCGTGACCCCTGCCCATTCACCTTCGCCACCATCTTAAGTCCAGGCCTCACAGATCATCCATCTTTCACATGGCCATCCAGCTGAGTACATATTTTATTCTGACTCTATCTCAATCTCTGACTTCCCAAACCTCTTGCTTACTGTGCTTTCTGGACTCAAGGTCTGTCATCAGAGAAAGTCAAGTTTGAGCATCTCTAATGCAAGTTACAGAAGTAAGTCAACAGAGTGGGCTAAAGGTCAGGCTGTGGTCAACAACTATGTATATACTGACATCACACTTCGTGACTTTTTGATGCCCTTCGTGGAGCAATGGTTCAGGGCCCCCAGCCAGGCTCAGTTGGCAGCAGCTGCAGTTAAGTGTCTCCAGTGTGGGGCCTCAAGGGCCTTATACCATCAGGGAGCCCTGCTAGTCATTACAAGGCAGATAGAAGTGGATTCCAAGGAGAAGGCAGCAAACAGAATCCCGCTACTCCTTGGGGCCTAAGGCTGACAGGGTCCCTCTCTGCCTCCTACTGCATAACAGAGGAAGAAAGATTCTCCTTCCTGGATCTTGCAGCCCATGAGCAGTTTGTTTCTGTCTTGAAGTTGAGTGTCAAGAAAGCAGATAAATCAGGAATGTTGGGAAGGTGTTTAGCATTGGGATAAGAATGCCAGCCACATAGGCAAGAGCTACTAGGGAACAGTTTACAAGTTCTGTGACAGTGGGACTTCAGGTGAGAGGAAAACAGGTTTGTCCTGAGTTTAGAACAACAAAAAATAGCATTAAATCAAGCGGCAACTAATAAGACCTGGGGTTTATTTGGGAAGTTTTGTGTTACCATCCATGCATCTGTGTATGTAAAGCACTTAGAAGTGTGCCTATGAGTGCATGTTACGCTGCTGCGGCAACTACTCCCAAAACAAAGACAGCTCCTTAGAAGAGCATGCCTCCTGGCTGCACGTTTACACCCTCTGTTCCTGTTATCTTCCAACCTTCCAGTGTTTCCTCATTCACAATTTTAACACCTGATCACTATCTTCTTTTTAGTCCTGTTTCTGTCCTCATACTTGGGAACTTCAACATAAAGGTGTGACCTAGGTTTCCACTGTGGCCTCTTACCACTTTTCACGAACACCCTTGCTAATCTTATCTTCTCCCAGACTTCATTACTATTGATGAATGAATCACTTCCATGTTTGTTTCCAGGCCAAACATCTCTTCTGAGCTTCAGACCCATATATCGAACGGGACAGCCCTACATAAATATTTCATGGAACCTCAAATTCAACTAGTCAAAGCCTGAACTCATCATCTTTCTCTTGCAAACCTGATTCTTCTATTCTCAAAATCTTGGTGTATGGAATCAATGTTTAACCAGTCACCCAAGCCAGAATTTTGGAGGTCATCCCAGATTCCTCTGCACCTCTTAGAAGTCATAGTCTATCAGTCACCACCTCCCAAAACTGCACATGTTGTCAATGAGTCCAGCGCTTCTCTGGTTCCAGAAAGTAAAACTGGTAGTTAAGAGGGCAAGTCTTGGGGTAAGTATACCTGAGTTCAAATAATAGCTTCTAATTTATAGTGTGCAATTGTTGGCAAGTTACTTAAGTTTTCTGTTCCTTGGTTTTTTAATCTGTAAAATGGGTATATAATAATATTGCTTACTTCATAACATTGTTAGAAGAGCCAATTGTTACAATATGTAAAATACTGGAACATAGTAAGTACTCAATAACATTTAGTGATATTGGTAATATCAACAATGATGATGCCTGAGCAACGCCAGTAGGGGCAACCACATGGCTCCAGTAATAGAGGAACCAGATTTGAAGGCTATCAATGGATTCTTAACTAGACTTTCAACCAACCCTTCTTTATTCAGCCCCACTCCCCATCTCTGCCTTTAAAGGAACTCAATGCCTCCAATTCCTAAGACTCCGTAGGTTCTGAAGGGCAAATTAGTTTGCCACTTAGGGGTTTTCTAAGACTTCACTTTTAATATACAGACACTTCACTCTACATGTGCACTTCAGTCTACACATGCACTGTCCAATATGATAATCACCAGTCACACAGGCTACAAAGCCCTTTAAATGTGATTAACCAGTGCCTTACATGTTAAACTAATACTATTTTGGGTATAGTGGGTTAAATAAAATATTTGTTTTACCTGTTTATTTTCACTTTTTAATGTGGCTACTAGAAAATTTTAAATTACGCATGACTGGCATTATATTTCTATTGGATAATGTTGCATCTTACAAAATTTTGACATTTCTTGTCTGCTGTCATGTTTTCTCCCATTCTCTTTAGTCTTATAATTGATACACTTTGTCTATTTTCATTTTTGTAAGGAGTCTGGGGAAAACGAAGATAAATGGGTGTGTTTCATCTGCTATATTTAACTGGAAGTCATATCCAAGCTTCTCACAATCTAGCTCCTGCGTATATTTGTAGTCTTATCACTTTATGTCCTGTTACGAACCCTCTGGCCCAGAAAAAATGAATTATTAATACCAGTTTTTGGAACACACCAGGAAACTTCAAGGTTTCATGCCTTGGCTTTCTTTGCATCCTTTTCCTGAAATACCCTCTAACTTCTCCCACCAGTCTGCCTAGTAACTTATCCTTCAAAAACTCACTCCATCCTCAAAAACTCACTCAAATTTCACCTACTCTCAGGAGCTTTTCCTGACTCTTCTCCTTTCAGGTTTGCTGACTGCTCCAGAGTCCAAAGTATTGGGTTGGCCCAAAAAACAAAAGTCCATTACGTTTTTTCCCATATGATGACTCTAGTAGTGCTTAGTTGTCTTTAACTTCAGTCAGAATAGTTTTGCTAGATTGTGCTGTGACAGCTGTCATATCCGTGTGCAAACAAAACAAAACAAAAATGCCCATAAAAACTGGTGAATTTTTGTGCAGCCATTTTAACATTAAAGATGGAAGAAAATACCCAACATTGTTGTCGTATTATGCTTTATTATTTCAAAAAAGGTAAAAATGCAACTGAAACACCAAAAAAGATTTTTGCAGTGTATGGAGAAGGTGCTGTGACTGATCGAACATGTCAAAAGTGGTTTGACATTTTGGCCAAATAATTCTTTGCTGCGGGGCTGCCTTATGCATTGGAAGATGTTTAGCAGCACCCCTGGTCTTTACCCACTAGGAGCCAATAGCGGGAGAGAGCTGACATACTCAAAATATTCAAATCAATACAGTTATTGGTGTAAATGAAAAATATGCCTTTTATTTTACAGGAAAAAAAAAGCATACAGACTTTTTGGCCAACCCATTATTTCTTGCATTTTCTTGTTTAGGTACCTGTCTTCTCCGTAATTGTATCCATCTTACTCGTCAGGCCCTTTAGTGCCATTTCAGGGTTTGATACATGGTGAGAACTAAAAGAATGTTTATTAAATAGATCAATAAAGATAGTAAGAAAGAACTGTAGGGATACAGAGGAAGGAGAGGCTGACTTTAAAAATTTCACAAGGGCAGTATTTTCCAGCTGTTCTTCAGAGAAGTTTTTAAGGGGTGGCGGTGGCTTTAGGAATTTTCTGTGCAGAGGAAACAGGACAGGCAAAGCAAGGACTATGCTGGGGAAATAGCAAATGATCTAGCTTGATGGGACATTGGTAAGGCCAGGTCATACGGGGCCTTGAGGTCCTTGCAAGGAGTTTGACAGCTGCTCTGAGGATACAAAGAAGCTGTCCAGACGTTTTAAGCTGTGGAGGAAGATCATTGGGCCTGCGTTTTAGCATTATCCCCTTTGGCTGCAGGTGGAGAATGACTGCAGGGCCTTGGGGCGAACTGGGAGATTGAGTTCGCTGAAGTAATCAGGGAATTGATGGTGTGGTCTGGGGTGGTCGTGAGCGATGGGGTCTCATGGAGGGAATGGAGCGATGGGGTCACAGGGAGGGAATGAAGGGCACGAGTGTCGGTTACTTGGGCAGCAGGACGCACAGGTCCAAGTGGGGCGTGAGGGGTTGCTGTTTGTACAAACAGGATGCGTCGGACACCGTTTACAGTGAAACCTCGCGGGAAGAGTAAGCCAGCCCCGCACCGGGGAGTGGGAGCGCGGGCGCCCGGCGCTCTTGTCCCTCGCGCGTCGCCGTCGGCACAGCCCGCGGTTTGCCCCGAGGAGGCCGCCGGCGCTACGGTTCCGGTTCCGGTTCGCCTCTGCACCTGTGGCGAGGGCCAGCGGCCATGGCGTACTTCACTGTGCAGAGGGTGGCGTTGGCCTCGGGGCTCGTCCTGGCTGTGTCGCTGCTGCTGCCCAAGGCCTTCCTGTCCCGCGGAAAACGGCTGGAGCCGCCACCTGCTCCCGAAGGTAAGCGCAGGCCAGCTCGCTTTGGGCTGCCGGCATCCCTGTCACTAGTAGGGAGAACGCTGATCCAGGGAGGGGTGACTCCGGGAGCCTCCGGTCCCCACCTGCATATCCGCAGAACGGCCTAGGGAAGGCAGGCCGTTGGGGAGGTGCCAAGCCCCACGGTTCCCTTGGCATCAGCGGGCAGCGGCCCAGCTCCCCCGGCTTCCTGTCCCTTACTGACCTTCAAGGGCCAGCAATACGCGCTTCCATGCTGCGCACCCCCTAAGCGGTCTGCACACACCCGTTACTCTCATCCCCTTCGCCTCCCCCCAAAGGCTTAAATCATTCAGGTTCTTTGCCTCAGGAGGGCTCCCACTTGGGAGCCCTCTTTAGGGTTTCTGGGTACTTTCTGTGGTGCTTTAAATGTAATAAAGTCCTTTGGAATTGGTGGTGGTAACCTTAATTAGTTGTGTGTGTTTGATGTTGGGTGCTCAGTGTTTCAGGCTCTTTTTGTGCCTTTTAAAATACACAGGCATGCCTCGTAGATATTGCGGGTTTGCTTCCAGACCACCCTAATAAAGCTGGTGGAGGGTCTTGCCTTTAATTGTTTTTTGTTTGTTTGTTTGTTTTTGTTTTTTAAAGTAAAAGAAAGACCTGTGAAGCGCGATTAAGGGGGGGTATACTTGTATCTTGAAGATTTTAATTCATATGTTAATTACTGAGATGAACAAATCGGTACCGTCCGTTTACTTAAATAAGCATTTAAGCATTTAATCCTTTGTTATTGGCATGATGTATGTGGTGTTTAAAAATCCACCCTGTTGGTTGCATTCTGGGACTTCTACATAATGAATGAGTGTAAAGGTGGATGCCAAAACCTGGGAGAGGGATCTAGAACAATTCTCTATAGGTGATGAAGTTCTGCGGTAACCCTCTCCTGTAAGTTATCTCTGTAACATCCTTGAGACATGGTTTTATAGTCTCCAAACACTTCCACTAATGTTCAACCTGTTGTTTATTGGACAGCTCCTTTTAAATTAAATCCACTTCTCTTTAATTTGTGCACACTGGCTGTTGTTCCACCCTCTTGCACATCCTAGATTATAAATACTAGAAGTACAGAGAACGAGGCTGTAGGGGTGGAGGGCAAATAGAATTCACTTGATAATCTTTACACTTGCAAAAACAATTTATGTGGAACAGGGTCCTAAAGAATCTTCATATGTTTGTTCTTATATTTTTGTTTTATTACAAAATCCCGAAGGTTTTACTCAGTGGTCTAATGTCATTGTCTGCCTTGAAGAAAAGTAAATTCATGATGATCTTGAACAGTAAAGATTTTTCCACAACAGTGTTTTACTGAACTGAATCCCCATTATGCTGAATTATCTTGAATAAGGTCTATTGAGTGTGAGTGGGGGAACCCCTTCTGAATGTTGTAAAATATAGAGATTAGACATGGCTCTTTTACTTGAGAACTCAAGAGCTGGCATTCAATGTTCTCACCTTAGAATCTTTGCACTTTCTGTTCTCTCGATTCCTGTAGTGTTCTTCCCTCAGCTTCCTTTTCATTTAAGTTTCAGCTCATATGTAAACTTCTCCCAGAGACTTTCCCTAAGGACTCTAGGTGAAATAATTCTCTCCACTCCCATCATTTCCTATTCCATCATGTTGTTTTATTTTTTTTATTGCAGGGATGACTATATGAAATTTCCTTGTTTACTCTTTTTTTGTTTGTTTATTTGTTTCTACTTTCTAGAATGTAATCTCCATGAGGGCAGGGACTTTGTCTTTTTTATCATTGTTTCTTTAGCACCTGGCTGAAATAACAGTCAATAAATACTTTTAAATGAATAATTTAAGATTATGAAGTTCCTAAATTTTGCATTAATTGCTGAAGTAGTATAATGTAGGCAAAAACTTACCTTGAATGATAATATTTTGGTTAATGAAATGTGCTAACTTAAATCCTTGCCCTGGTACACTGACATTTTAAAAGTAGTTACTCCTAACCATTGTTGGGTTATCAACCCCTTTGAGAATCTGATGAAAGTTATGGATTTTCTCCCTAGAAAAATGCACATACTTTTTAGGTATACATTTGAGTATCAATTCAGAGGATTCACAGAACCCAGAAATCCTTGCTTTGAAGAAGGGGGCAGCCTCCATTATTTGAAAATTATTAACATTTGTGTCATTGTGGCTTCCATTTCTACCCATTGGAGTATGTGAAAAAGCATAGTCCCTTTTCCACATGACATCTGTTAAGATAGTGTTTCAGCAAATATTTATGATATACCCTTTCACATAGAGTACATACAACGTACAGATACTGTGGATTCCAAGAAAAAATAAGCCAAATCTCTGCCTGAGGAACCCACAGCTTACAGAGGAAAACAGACAAGTAGGTGCAAAAGGTGTCAGTTGTAGGTCCTCAAGTCCTTGCAGGGAATGGTGGCAACATGGTTAGAATGGTCAGTTTTATTAGAGGCAAGAAAGGTGTTGTAGAGGAGAGTATAGTTTTTCTCTGAACAGCTTTTGTGAGATATAATTCACATGCCATTAAATTCACCCATTTAAAGTGTACAATTTAGTGGTTTTTAATGTATTCAGGGTTGTGCAACCATCACCAAAATCAATTTTGAACATTTCACTCCCTGCCAAAAAATTCCGCAATCTTTAGTCATCACCCTCTAACATCACCGCCTTCAGCCCTAGGGCAACCTAAACTACTTCCTGTCTCTATCAATTTTTCTATTATGGACATTTCATATACATGGAATCATACAATATGTGATCTTTTGTGACTGGCTTCTTTCACTTAGCATAGTGTTTTCATGATTCATCATGTTGTAGCAAGTATCATTTCATTTCTTTTTATGGCTGAGTAATAGTCCTTTGTGTGGATATACCACATTTTATTTATCATTTTATCATCAGTTCATAGGCATTTGGGTTGTTTATATTTTTATTATTATAAATAATGCTGCTATTAACTTTTGTGTAGGCACGTTTTCATTTTTCGGGTATAGACATTCCGGAAATGTGAACATTTTAGTGTGGCTGGAACTAACAGTGGAATTTCAGAGTCATATGATTTATTTTTCTATGTTTAACTTTTTGAGGAACCACTAGACTATTTTCCAAAGCAGATGCACCATTTTGCATTCCAGCCCACGATGTATGTGGGTTCCAGTTTTTCCACATCTTATCTATACTTATTATTGTGTGCCTTTTTTATTATAGCCTTCCTAGTCGGTGTGAAGTGGTATCTTATTGTGGAATTTTTTTTGCATTTCCTTGATGACTAATGACATTGAGCATCTTTTCATGTACTTCTTGGCTATTTGCATATCTTTGGAGAAAATTCTATTGAGATCTTTTGCCCACATTTAAATTGGGTTATTTTTTATTACTGAGTTTTAGAGTTCTTTTTATATTTTAGATACAAATCCATTATGAGATACATGATTTGCAATTACTTTCTCCCATCTAGTGGGTTATCTTCATTTTCCAAATGGTATACTTTTAGAAGAAAAGTTTTTAATTTTTATGAAGTCCAGTTTATTTTTATTTTGTTGCTTATGCTTTTGGTGTCATATTTAAAAAACCATTGCCAAATCCAAGGTCATGATTTATACTTATGTTTTCAAATTTTACAGTATTTGCAGTTACATTGAAGTCTTCAATCTGTTTTGAGTTATTCTTTGTATACAGTGTTACAAAGAAGTTCAGTTTCATGTGGATATGCAGTTAATTATCCCAGGACCATTTGTTGAAAAGCCTATTCTTTTTACATTGAATTATTTTGACACACTTGTTGAAATTCATTTGTGTATAAATGTGTGAGTTTATTTCTGGACTCTCAATTCTGTTCCATTGACATATACGTATGGGGGGGGAGGGGTGTGTGTGTGTGTGTGTGTGTGTGTGTGTGTGTGTATGCCAGTACCACAGTCTTCATTACTATAACTTTGTAGTAAGTTTTGAGAATGAATTGTAAGTCTTCCAGTATTGTTATTTTTCAGGATTGATTTCTGAGTCCTGTGACCCAGCATTTTCATATACATTTTAGAATCAGCTTGTCAATTTCTGCACACACACAAAAAAAGCCAGCTGGGATTTTGATAGACTGTGTTGAGTCTGTAGATCAATTTGTGGAGTATTGCCATCTTAACAAATTAAATCTTTCAGTCTGTGAACACAGCGTTTCTTTTTATTCAGATCTTTAATTGCTTTCACTTTTTATAATTTTATAATTTTTCATAATTTTGTAATTTTCAGTGTCACCAGTCTTATTTTGTTATATTTCTAAGTATTTTATTGTTTTTGATGTTACTATAAATTGAGTTATTAATTTTATTTTCAGGTTGTTTACTAGTGTATAGAAATACAATTAATTTTTGTGTAATAATATTGTATCCTGCAACCTTGCTGAATTATTAGCTGTAATAAACAATCATGTCATTTGCAAATAGAAATATTTTACTTTTCTTTCCTATTGGCATGCCTTTTTTTTTTCCTTTCCTAACAGCCGAGGCTAGAACTTCTAGTACAATGCTGAATAGAAGTAGTGAGAGTGAACATCCTTGTCTTTTCCCTGATCTTAAGAAGAAAGCTTTCAATGTACTGTTTTCATGGATAGAAAAAATTAACATTAAAACGTCCACTCTACCTAAAGCAGTCTCCAGATTCAGCACAATTCCTATGAAAATCCCAATGGCATATCCCACAGATCTAGAACAAATATTCCAAAAATTTATATGGAACCACAAAAGACCCTTAATAACCTTAGAAATCTTAAGAAGAACAAGGTTGGAGGTACCATACTATCTGATATCAAACTATACTACAAGGACATAGTAATAAAAAACAGCGTGCTATTGGCACAAGAACAGGCACATAGCTCAGTGGAACAGAATAGAGTGCAAAGAAATAAACCCATGCCTTTATGGTCAATTAATATTTGACAAAGGAGGCAAGAACAAACAATGGAGTAAAAACAGTCTCTTCAATAAATG